CAGAGCTGCCCGCCGCCTGGACCCCGGCCTCACCCTGGAGCGGCCGGCGACAGCTGTGGCATTGCTCCCAACACAAGGCCCCGCTCCTGCCTCCCTTCAGATGAGCCCGCCACATCCCAGGCCAGAGGCAGACCCCACAGAACACAGAGAACCCTAGACGTCAATCCTCGGCTCCTAGAACGATCGGGGAAGCCACCGCGCTGGCCCTGACCATGGCCGCCGTGTCCCGGAGCTTGTGAGAGAAGAGGCCTGACCCCCTCACAGCTCATGGTGGGCGCAGCCTCCTTCCAGCCCCTCACACACTCCCCGCAGAGCAACCGGGAGCAGAACAGACATGCCCCTGTCCTCATGTTGCTTTCACTCTTTCACCGGGATTTCTAGTAAGAAATAGATTTCCCATCACCATCCAGGCGTACACAGGCACTCCCCAAGGTTTATATGCGGCCGAAGCAACGGTTTCACAGAGCAGCCTCCTCCTGGCCACATGCGGACACCGCTACTGACATGTCCGATATTCTTTTGAAAGAGCGGGGCTTGAAAAGGAGGACCTACGCAATACTCTCAACATAAAGATTTAAAAAATAAAATCAACAAAGAGCTGGGCTTGGCCCACGACCCAGGACATGGCCTGCCCTTTGCACAGCCCCCGTCGCTGGGAAAAGATGATTAAACAGTGTCGCAGGGGGTTACCATGGACTGTCCCTGCCCCAGTTTTGACCAAAGAACTGAAAACTGAAACCAAGGGTTTCGGGGTACCACACGACGAGTCTGTCCTATGGGTCTTGTTAATGAGGGAAATGGGGGACCCGCAGTCACATCAGGTCCCATGTAGAAAGGGGTCCAAGGAAGCCAAGGGCCTAGAAATCTGTCGGCTGGTTTCTTTGGAGAGAACTGTCCAGAGGTTCCAGGACCCAGTGGCCCTCCCTTGGGGAAGGGCGGGTGTGAGGGCGGGGAGGATGTTACCTTTGAACCCAGGCCTGCGAGGGCCTTCTGGGCGCACGTTGGCTTGTTGGAGATGTGGAGGACCGGGCCTCGCTTGGCCTAGAAGAAGCTCAAGTGGACAGGAGACGGGGTCCTGCAGAGAGGGTCTCGGCCAGCTGCTCTCGGGGTGGCGTGGAGCACGCTGCGGCCGGGGCAAGCGCTCTGGGGTCTTCCTGTGGGCAGAGGCGGCAGGTGGAGAAAGGGCCTGTGTGTGCACCATGACTGGGCCCCTTAGAGCAGTGGTTCTCCACCTTGGCTGCACATGGTGGGTCCACAACATGAGTAACAAAGAAACAGAATTTCCGGAGGATGAGGCCCAGAAATCAGGATTTTAAAAAGATTCCCAGGCGATTCTCATGTGCAGCCAAGGTGGAGAACCACTGCCTTAGAGGGTTGGGGCCGTGGCAGGAAGAGGCTGGGGATGGACCCACAGGTGCCCAGGGGCACAGGAAAGGTCACAGGGGCCCCGGGAAAGGAGAGCATCTCCTGGGCTGAGAGACGTGCAGGGAGTCACCCAGGAGGGAGATGCCCTCCGGCCTCCGCCTGGCCTGGGAGGAGGAACTGCCCTGCCCCGCAGCCGGGGCTGCTCGGCCTGGACGCCCTCAGAAAGAGGCTGAGACGAGACGAGTTATAAGGCTAGGGCGGGATGTAGGCTGCTGTTCTTTTACCCCACACAGAGCCAAAGGCCACAGGCCAGCCCGGCTCATCCAGGGCCGGGAAGATGGCCTGCGCCGAACCAAACCAAGAGGGACCGAGGGGCTGGCTTCTAGGACGCTGGGGCTCATGCATGTTCACTGTGGGCTTTGCAGGCGTTCCCAGTGGGAAGGGAGAGCAGTGACAAGGGCAGTACCAGGAGCGGGGGCAGGGGCTGGGTGCTGGTCCCGGAGGGAGGGTTCCCAGAGGAGGAGACATTGAGATGAGGCCTCTTGGAGAGATTTTAGCCAAGTCTGAAGCCTGAGCCAGGACAGGCCATTCATACGAGAAAAGCTGCAGCAAACAGCTTGGGTGGGGCTGCAAATTGGGTGGTGCAAGGGTCTCCGGGAATCCCCAGGGTGGAGCAAACGGTGTGCTCTGGGCTGATTCACACTCAGACGTGGCTGCCCGTCAGCCCTGCAACTGGGGAGGTCCCCGCACAGGAACAGTCGCCCTGGCGAGCATCCCTGTCTGGGAGAAAGCTGCCCCCGTGTTCCAGCTCCGATGCCAGACAATCCAGTTCCTCACCTTATTGTATCTGGGTCTCCGGCGCTGGAGCTCAGAAGACGTGGGGCCGTGTAGGTTTGTGTGCAGGCCCTTTAAGAGCAGCACCCGGGATTCCAGCAGCCTCTGTGCCACTCAGCCAAAATCCCGCAGGTTTTTGCTGGGACCCTTTGCTCGGCCCGTTTTGTGCCTCTGCTCTTCTACTATTCTCAACGTGCTTTCTCCTTCACCTCTCTAGTTGCAGGACTTCCATCCAGCCAGCTTTCAGGCGGTTCTGAATGATGGTTGTTCTGTATTTTAGTTATAATTTTGATGTGGTTGTGAGAGGCAGCGAGTACAGGCACTTGCCTACACCGCCATCTTTCCAATTCAGTCTCTCAAACAAGCTGCAGCTGGTGACAGCATGCCCCAAACCGATCAATAAAAGGCCCCAGACCCGGCTCTAGCACCAGCTGGCCTTGCTTCCCAGCTGGTCCTCACAGCCAATTGGCCTGGCGGTCAACTCCTCCCAGAGACGCCAACAGCAATCAAGGATCAGGTACAAGACTGTGCACACAGCCCACAGAGGGGCGCACCTAGAGGGCCCAGCTCAGGCGACTGGGGAGGCTGAGCCACTGGGCCCTACAGGACACCTACTGCACAAGGCCACTCTACCAATTCCAGGAGACGTAGCTTCTCTACCCAATACACAGGAACAAACACAGGGAAGCCGCCAAATGCCAAGGCAAGGACACATGTCACAAATGAAAGAAATGGAAACAAACTACTGGATACGGAGTTCAAAACCACAGTTAGAAGGTTACTCAAGGACCTTCAGGAGACTTCCAAAGATCGTAGTGAGAATGCCAAAGACGTGGAAAAGGACCAATCAGACATTAAGCATTCAAATCCATATCTATCAACAATCGGATCTAAAAATCAAAATAAGTAAACAAGAAATCTAATGAACAAAATAAACTGGTGAATAAAACAGAATCAGAGGCATGGAAGCACGGGGCAGACTGACGATCTCAGAGGGAAGAGGCGAAGGGGGCGGGAAGAGATGAACAAAGTCTCACCTATGGACACAGACAGTAGGGTGGTGAAGGCCTGGAGTGGGGCGGTGCCATAGGGGACCTCTATATTACTCTCGACAATAAAGATTAAAAAACAAAGCAAAAAAACCCATGCGGCCTTCAGGAGAATAGTGTTCGGGAACCGGGGAGGCTGAGCCACTGGCCCTACGGGACACAAGGCCGTCCTACCAATTCCAGGAGACATGGCAGCTCTACCTAATACACAGAAACAAACACAGGGAAGCCCCCCGTGGGAGCTGGAGAGGCCGAGAGGACGAACAGAGAAATGTGGTTACGAGTGGGCAGGGCTGGAGGCTCCGGGAGGGGTGTGCCTGGATCCCGAAGCAACAGGAAGCCACTGGAGGGTTTTATCCAGGAGGCAATGATCTTGGATTAAAATATTCTGGTCGCCGAGTGGTTTGGAATGGCTGAGGTCAGAGGAAGGGAAGCCATGAGGGAGAGGCGAGCTCCACCGGGGAAGTAGCCGCCAGGCAGGCCAGGGGTGGGGCTGTGAAGACGCTGAGAAGGTAGTGCCAACAGGGTGTGGACTGGGCGAGTGGGCGCGGGAAAGCCTGCAGTGGTAGGGGGCACCTTCACCAACAGGCGTAGAGGCGAGATGGATGAGCTCAGGGCTGGGCGGGTTGGGCTTTCTTAAAGCGTAGGAGGGGGTGAGGGGTTTCCCACTCTTCCTGCAAGAGGGCCCAGGGCCTAAAGACCTTGCTCATTCAGTAAGACACTGGAAAATGTGCCCCCAGAAGAAGCAATCCAATAGACTGGGGGGAACCCTGGAGGGGGTGGCGCCTCGGGTGCCTGGAGAATTGACGGTTTCCAGAAGCAGCTGCTGTCCCCCGAGTTAAATGCTGGGATGGACGGGACCCACAGAGGAGGACGGAAGACGGAGAAGGCTCTGGTGCATCCAGCCACACGGAGGCCCCGCTGGCTGGCCGCGAGCTTTTGGTGGGGTGCTGGGGGCAGCAGTGAGGAGAGGGGTTGGGGGCACGGAGAGGAAGCCAGCATCCAAGCCTGGCTTGAGGCACAGGTGCCACCATCTGGCTGTTCTCCACGGCAGCTGCCCCTTCCTACATCCACTTTTCCAGATCCTTCCTCTGGTGTGAGCCCCCAATCCCCGTCCTCCAGCTCTGCCATGGCCCAGCCTGGAATCCTGGAAGGCCGGGACCTGGGGTCCCCTGGTGGGACAGACTGCTCCATCCTCAGCACACTCTCCCCAGCCTCCATCCCAGGAGGACACTGGGAGTCCTGCAGGTTCTCGGACCCAGCCTGCTCTCCCAAAAGCCTGTGTGTCTGAGGGGGGTGGGGTGTGTGTGTGTGTGTGCACACAGGACCAGCCTCCTCGCAGGTTCCTGGGGCCTCATCAAACCCCCTGCACAAGAACAGAGCCAGGCCAGGTCATGGAAGCCATTTATTGGTTTGTTTTAAAAATATGCATCTTATTTACACACGAAGTTTGGTGAGAAGTGCTCGGTTAGTTCAGACAACAGCTGGCACCTGACGCGCGTCCCTCCCTCCTTTTTCCTACCCTCTTCTCCCCTCCTGCCGGCCAGTGTGCAGTTCTAGAAGAAGAAAAAAAAGCCACACTGAAAGCTAAGGAGTTGGGCCTCGCCCGTCCTTGCCCGCGACCACACCGTCCGCAGCTCCTGGCGCTGCCAGCGGCCAGCCCCGGTAAATCTCACAAAATCGAAGAGGGAAGCTGGGCTGCCAGCCGGCGCCTCCCCAGCCGCATTCCCGCCCGTGCAGGGAGGCGAGTGCAGGGGGGCGGGGGGGGGGCATTCCTCTCCAAGGCTGAGAGCAAAGCACAGAGATCTACAAAAATAAGATTTCCACTTGGAGGAGTGTCGCTGGGACAGTTCAAACCTGGTCCCGCGCTGGACTCAGAGGGAATGGGGCAGGAGGGAAATCACTGGAGTGGAGTGGAGTGGGGCTGGGGTGACAAGGAGAATTGTAATACTTGACTCCCTGGCAACGCCACCGGCACTGCCATGAGCTCAGAACGCCCAGCCCTCTGACAGCTCGGAGAGGTAGGTTGGGAGCAGCCCGTGTCCGGCTTCCTGGGCGGCCGAGCGGTGGCCTGTGAGGTTGGATGCCCCGCGGAGGTGGGCGGCCTCGCTGGAGAGCTGGAAGGGGGCAGCCCGGCTCCTGCCTGCTCAGGCTCCGCCCACCCGCCCACGCTGTCACTCTCAGGGTGACAGCTCACCACATGAAAAGATTTGCATATGCTAAATAGGATTGTCAGCAGCTGAAGAGGCCCCTGGGGGGTTACTGGACTAGAAAAAGTGTTTTTCCCTGAAAAAGCCTTCGGACAAGACCTGTGGGACAGCCTGGACCCTCCCCCAGGAGGTCCTGTGTGCAAGTGCCACTAGGACCCCAAGCTGAGCCGGAGGGGCTGGGCCAAGGCCACACTGCTCCCTTCCCAAGGGGTCCCAGGGTTCATTCCCCACCCAGGGCACGGGGACAGGCCTGCTCACCCCTGCCTAGGACCCAGGCTGCCCTCCCCACGCCCATGCGGCTGCGTTTGGAGAGGAGCTGGGACCACACAGGAATCACCTCGCCCCCATGGTTAGAGGCAGAAAGTCCGGAAAGAGAACTCTGGCCATGATAACAGGTTCCCCTCTTCACACGGGCCAAGGGCTGTTGAGCTTCTTAGCCCCAACCTCACGGTGCTCAGCCTTCTGTACTGGGTCTGTGGGCAGGGTCTGCCAGGCTCGGGAGCAAGAAGAGCTGGCTGCCAGGCTGCGGGTGGGCGGGCTCCCTCAGGCCCGTCAGTTTTATGTTAATACTCGTACAGAGGCCAAGCTTCAGCCCCCAGGACCAGCCCTGGGACCTCTCTTCCGGAAGCCTTCTGCTTTTGTAGAACCGACCCTGCGAGGCTGCTTCTCAGTGTGTCCTACTAGGTCCTGCCTAAAAACACAGGGGAAAGCAGGACCTTGGGGACGACGGAAGGCCGGAGGGAGTCCCTCCCCGCTGACAAGACGCCACGTGGGGCTGGGAGGAAAGGTCTGCCTCCTTGGGGCTGGGCCAGGGGTGGCTCCCTGGCACTCGTCTGAGAGCAGCTGGTGTGTGGCCTGTGTGTGCACATGTGTGTGAGAAGAGGGGTTCAGCCCTCCTGGTCTGCAGCCCGAGTGGCAGGGGACCCCCTTGCTGCAGTGAAGGCCTGTGGGAGCCACACCGATCCCACTTCTGCTTTGAGAACAGAGTCCCAGCAGCCTTTGGGAACCGTTCACACCCGCTCAGAGTTTGGATGAGCAGTGTGCGTTGCTGCCCAGGTCCACGGGAAAAAAACGTTAGTTCTTTGCTCAAGTAAAAAAATATCAAATATAATAAATTTATGAAAGCCATTCACAACATATACAGTCTTCGTTTTCTATTTTGCCACAGCAGCTGGGGTGGGGTTGCTTTCCAGAGCCCCAGGGTGTTGCCTGACCGGACCAGGCCACTGGTATGAGTGGAGGTCTCCAGGGACAGGCCGCCCCAAGTGGTGGGCATGGCCAACTGCTCCCGGCCATCAACGCGGGTGCCATAGAACTCTGCCTTGTCGACCCACGGGGCTGCTCACTCCTGAAGCCCCAAGCAAGGAAGGCCCCGCAGGTGCTGGCTTCTGGCTGCACATGGGTTTGCCTCGAGGCAACAGGCTGCCTTTCGGGTGTCTTGGCCAGCCTGGGCGAGGCTCACACCATAGACTCTCGGTCCCTGTCTGAGGATGCGGGGAAGTCCGCGAGATCTTCACTGCGGCTGTCAGACACCCGCACCTGGAGGTTGTCACTGGTGGCCCTGGTGACACTGTCATAGGAAGGGGGGAAGGATGTGGAAGAGATGGAGGAGCTGGAGGGCGGGCCAAGGCGCTGGGAGAAGTTCTCATTCATCTTGCAGGCGATGAGGCCCTCTTGCTCAGGGGCATCCTCCTCGGAGAGGCCGCTGCTGCCGGCCTGCTGGCGGAAGAGGAAGGAGGCGTGCTTCATGGAGCGCTGCAGCAGGTGCCTCCGGAAGGCCCGCTGGATGACGGTGGCCGACACCTCCTCGTGCTTGCGCCGGAGCGTGGTGGTGATGGGCTCGTAGGAGATCTTGGATGGGTTGGCCGCCATAAACTTCTCCTCCATCTGGATCTTCAGGGCGTCCATCTCCCCGGACTCCCCCAGGACCCTCTTAGTGAAGGCAAAGAGGATGTCCATGCAGTGGATACGGTCCCCACTCACCATGGGCAGGTCCATATTGATCAGGCTGATCTGGTTGGGCTTGGCGATACGCAGCGGCTCAGACAGGGCGTCGGCAAAGTCGGACAGGGCCGTGTACTCAATGAACTGGGTGGCCTCCGGGTCGAACTTTTCCCAGAAGGATGCCCACGGCTGGGCTCCCACAGTGCCCCCGGGAGCCATTGCTGTTGGGCAGATTGGGGTCGCAGTAGGGGGGCCCCGTGTTGAGGATGGGGTTGAGGAGACCATCCCAGCCAGCCGACGTGGTGATCTGGAAGAGGCACAGCATGCTGTTGGCGAAAGTCTGGAAGTTGAACATGTCGTCGATGCCAGCTTCCCACTTGACATAAGCGAAGTTGGCCATGCCGAAGATGGAGTAGATGAACATGACGAGGAAGAGCAGCAGCCCGATGTTGAAGAGGGCAGGCAGGGACATCATGAGGGCAAAGAGCAGCGTGCGGATGCCCTTGGCCCCGCGGATCAGCCTGAGGATGCGGCCGATTCGGGCCAGGCGGATGACTCGGAAGAGTGTTGGGGAGAAGAAGTACTTCTGGATGATGTCCGAGAGCACAGTGCCTGTGGGAAACAGCAGAGGCTGTGGCCACCCATGGCATCTCTGTCCTCCCTCCAGACCAGTGTTGCTGGGTGGGATTCTCTGCAGCAAGGGGCAAGGAAGAGGGGGCCCTTCCAAGAGGAATGGGTTAACTGCAAGGCCCTGCTCCCCCCGTTCCCATGAATCTCCATTTCTGCATATGATCCAGAACATGAGGACTCACGACTTTTGCAAAGTGCCTTCTCAGCCCCTTTGTTTCTTAGTCTTCTGAGAACACTGCAAAGTAGAGCTGTACTAGGCCTATCATCTAGATCATGGGCTCGGAGTCCCAAGGGGACTTGCTCAGAGTTTTGGTGGCCTATTTTGGGCCAGAACCCAGGCCTTTTACTCAAAGTGTGGTTTGAGGATCAGCAGCCTTGGGGTCTCCTGGGCACATATCAGAAATGCAGGACCTCAGCTCTGCCCCAGAGCCACTGCATGTGCACAAGCCCAGGAGTGCAGGAGGCACTAGCCTGGAAGCCAGCACTCTCCCCTCTGCCATGCCATGCCATACCATGACACTCCACGTTACATCTCAGGCTCCCTGAGATGGTTCCTATCATCTTCTCAACTCTACTAGCTTCCAGGGTTTACCCACCCCTTGTTCTCTATTGACTGCTCTGGGCTGGGATTTTTAAGGAGCAGGGACATAACTTACAGGAGAAAGAGTGATATTGACTTGCCTCATATTAGCCCAAGTGATTTTTCCCAACTCCTCATATAATAATGATGTCACTGGCTGACATGTGTCCAGTGTTTGCTGTCAATCAAGCACTGAGCTGAGCACTTTATATCATCCATTAAGCCCGTCCAGTCACCCTAGAAGGTAAGCTGATACCCTCAGCCTCATTTTCCAGAAGAGGAAGCTGAGAGGTGAGGTAACTTACCCAACTGGCCACCTAGTCAGTGAGAAGCTGGAATTTGACTCAGACACTCTGGCTCCAAGTTGACCTGTTAGCCGTGCCTCTCCAGCATGGCCAAGCACCGGGACCAGGAGGCGTTCTGAGGTACATGCTGCACCTTCCGAAGACTCTGAGACTGCCCATCATCAGCTCCATTCCTACTGCCAATGTCCAGCATAGTCTAGTAGCCCCTCTTGGCACCCTCTCGCCCTCACCCCTGCCTGGGACCTCCCTGAGCATTTCCTGACCCTTCTCCCACTTCTAACTATCTGCCCATCACCACAGCTGCCTTAGCCCCTGCATTTCCCTCCAAGTTCACTAAATGCTGGGACTATCCACAGCAGAAAGATGAAAGTCACTCCAAGGCAGAGTTCCATGGGGACAGGGTCAAGAGTTCAAGTGTGTGTGCGTGTGTGTGTGCGTGTGTGTGTGTGTGTGTGTGTGTGTAATGGGGGAGAGGTGAGGAATGCAGAGAGAAAAGAATGAAGGAGCCTACGTGTACTTGGCATTAAGTACAGATCTCAGACTGGAGGAGAGACCTGGCCTGGGGAGGGCATCTCTGCTCAGACAACTGGTATACCCACCCACAATGGAGAGGATGACAACCACGAAGTCGAAGATGTTCCAGCTGTTGGTGAAGTAATAGTGCCGCAGGGCACCCATCTTGATGATACACTCGCCCGTGAAGATGACTACGAAGAGCAGGTTGATCTTGCCCAAGATGTTGATCTTCTCCAAGCTCTGGTCATCTGTCTCCACCATCATGGTCACCATGTTCAAGCAGATGAGAAACATGATGGTGACGTCAAAGGCCTGCTTGGTCACAATGTCGAATACGAAGCCCTGGTACTTGTTCTGAAAGGAGGGGCACAGGGTGGGTTCAGAAGGGATTTTGCAGGCCAGCTGGTCCTCCCTCTTGCTGACTTTGTCTAGATCGCCCACACTCTGAGTCTCCTGTCTGGTGAGCCCAACACCCCACCAGACCGCCACAGTGAGAGGAAGAAGTCAGGAGCTCTGGAACAGCCTGACCCTCCTACTGAAGCGCTACCTGGGCTCCAAGGCCCAGCCCTGAGGCTCCCTCTTCCTTCTCTGATGGATCTTCAGGAAGGGATTTCTCCTACTCTGAGTTTCCTTAGCAGACATTCTTTGAGCTTTTCTTTTTGTTCCCACTGTCTGAAAGCTCAAGGTCAAATATAAAGGTCAATCCTAGTAATTGTATTAGCCCTCAGATTAATAAATATTCTCCACTCTTTAAGGAATTGATTTTATTTACTCTTCTAACTATATTTGTGTCTTTGTTTGTAAGTCACCCCAGATATCTATCTATCTATCTCCCTCTCTCTCTCCCCCCACCCCCCGACACATGCACAACAGAGTATGGTGAAAAGAATCAGATGAAATTGATGAATTAGATTTAAAAATTGGGGCTGTCACTTACCAGCTGGTGCTTTAGGTTATGTCACCTAATTACTTTGAATACTGCCCCGCAACCCTGCTCCAACATACACACACTTTATTGGAGAATGGCTTGGTCAGGCAAGGGAGTCAGCCTATGGAGGACCCAACATGCTTCCTGGCCGCACTCACCAGGGGAGCTACCATTCAGGGGTTGTAAGAATGAGGCGATGAATGCGGTGGGGGCTGCAAAGACTGCCCTGCTCTCCCTGGGGACAGCCTGAGCCCTTGCAGGGGAGGTAGGGCTCACTCAGAGGCAGATGAGCTTCTATAGGAGGGGAGTGTCCCCTGGTTGCCACAGCCTGCTCCTGCCTGCCTTACTACCTCTATGAGACTGAGACCTCTGTGTGTAGTCAGACGCCTGACTACATGGGACTGGCTGAGGGCCCCAGGCTGGGCCAAAGACGGTGAAGAGGCCGTGACAGGTGGCGGTGTGGTATGGGAGCCCCCCAGGCTCCCCCCTCCCCAAAAGATCCTTCGCCCCACCCCCCTTGCCAAATTGGGAGCAGGCTCACCAGAGGCCGGGGGATGGGCTTCTGGGGCTTCTTGGAGCCCAGCTTCTTCATGGCGTTGTAGTACTTCTTCTGCTCCTCTGTCATGAAGATGTCCTGGCCCCCTAAGTGCAGAGAGACAGGCACCAGACTTATTTTGGGGTTCTCAGAGGCTCCAGCACGGACAGCACAGGGATCCTGCTTCAATAATGAGGTGCCAGGACCAGTCACCCCCTCACTTCCTGTCCCTCTAAAGTATGTCCCTATCCTGCACCACAGATTGCTCCCTGAGTTGCTTTTTTCCAGGGGGCCTGTCCCCATTCGCCTTGAGATTTCTCTGGCTTTGTGACCTGCAAATCCTGTCCCTACTCTTACCCTCTCACCTGCCCAACACAGCCAGGTTGGAAGTTCTCTCTGCTAACCTTGTTTACCTGTAAACCAATCATGGCCCTCTGATGGAGCTCCAGGCAGACCCTGGCCCTCTGCACAGGCCCCACCCATTATCCCTGATCATGGACCAGGTGACGAGCCCCCAGCCTCACCCAACTTCTCTGAGGGGCCTCATCTCTCAGGTAGACTAGGGCAGGCCTGGGGCCCATTGTTACACTCTTGTAGGCCTGGGCATATGACCTCATGGACACAGATCCCTGCCATTCCACTCCACCCAGCAGGAGCAAGCAGGACCATCCTCAACAGAAAGCCCAAAAGGGGCCAGCAGCCAGAACCCTTGGCGCCCAGCCCTGCCAGCCCAGGGGGAGCCTGTACTCTACGTATCTTTTTCTTCTGTTGGTTGAAGTTGTCGATGATGACGCCGATGAAGAGGTTCAGGGTGAAGAAGGACCCGAAGATGATGAACACGACAAAGTAGATGTACATGTAGAGGTTGTATTCCCACTGGGGCTGCTCTTCATACTAAGGGGGAGAAGTCAGAGAGGGAGATCAGACAAGTAGGAGGTGGGCTGGCTGGGGGTGTCCACTCTGTGGGAGAGAGGGGCTGTCCAGAGGAAGGTGTGGGTGTGTGTGTGAAGGGGGGGTGGAGCTGAGAAATGGACAGTGGCAGGTGAGGAGAACAGGCATGCTGGGCTCAGGGGTGGCACAGTGTCACTGCATGGCTTCTGTCCCTAGGCCATTGGGAGGTTTGAGAATAAGGAGCATCTCTTAGTCTCCTGTGACCTGTCAGTGTGAATGGGTGGTTACAAGGACAAAGGAGAAGCTTGATCTTCCTGGGGTAAGACTTTAAGATTCAAGTAAATTACAGTGAATTCAGTTTGAAAGATATTTGAGAACTGTGGGACTCCTTGGGAGACCATTGCCCCAGGGCCAGGCTTGGGCATCCCAGAGAGGTTCAACTGCAGGTTGATGCACGAGAACTGGCCCTTATAGGGTGAGCTTTCAGATGTGGACCCTGATTCTCTGGTGGCCAAGCAGCTGGGAGCCTTAAGTGCCTGACTTTGTGGGAGAGGCCAACCTACCCCCCTGGAGTCCACAGCCGCATACATAATGTCCATCCAGCCTTTAAATGTTGCCTGAAAGGAAAAGACAAGAGTAAGAAAATCACTTAACTCTGCACCAACTGAGCTATGAGGGCTCCTGACTGGATAGGTGAGGCCAGGAAGTGGCCTCCTGCAAGAAGCTAGCAGCCCGCCCCACCCCTGCGGCAGTGTCCAAGTGGCTCGGTGGTCAGGCAAGGAACCTATAGTTCAGAGCTAGCTGGTTGTGGAGGGGAAGCCAGCTGAGCAGACACCCCTCGAAGGCCACACAGCGCGGAAATAAGCTTCTAGATGCTGGCCAAGAGACAACTGAGGCCTGAAGGAGGTTGGCCCTTCATTCCGATCCACATTCGTTCCGGATTCTAAAACGACACCGAGTCCTACAGTAGGTGTCAGGGACAGAGAGGTGGGGCTTGGGCTCTCTGTCTGGCTTAAGGTGGACCCCAGCGCTGACCTGGTCCCCTTGGTCATGCACCTCAGAGAACCTTGTGGCTTCTGCTCCGTGTCCATTCAAAGGAAGTCTCTAAAGAATCCCAACCTTCCCTCGTACTTAAGGGGGGTCCTCTGCCAGTGGTGTGTGGGTAAATAGCTAACAAATGACTTTCTAGAAGGAACAAAAGCCCTGATGGTTGCGTCTGTCAATTTCCCTGTGAAAATCCTCCCACCATGGCTGATTGCAAGTTGCCGAGGTGCAGCTACGGAACAGAGGTGGGGAGACATGCACAGGAACACTGCGTTGCAGGGTTTCCACTGTAGGGATATAATAGATGTACTAACCTCAAGAGCACAGACGATACTACGTGGTGATGGTGAGGTTTCATTTTGTTTTAATATCATTTAGTTAATTATAAGTTTATGAAATATAATTGTAAATAACAGCTTGCCAATATCTGGCTGGAGCACACCGTGGCAATGAGACGGGGCCTGGTGCCGGTTACACTGTCTGCCCCAGTCTGGGCTGTGAGGAAGATTCGGAAAGAGTCCGACAGACGGGCTCGGTGGTGAGACCAACCGCCCAGTGGGTCTCACGTGTGCCCCTGGCAAAATCCAATCCTGCCCCACGCCTCCTTTCAGGGCATGAGTTTGTCCAAATGGTGCATGTCTGAGAGTTTTTATGAGGCAGATGGCAGACGGGGAAACTGAGGCCGCTCCACGGAAGGCAAGCTATTCCAGCCCCTTATGCTACGAGGCCCTCACCTCCTGGAGGAGCCTGGAGAGGCTTTGGAAACTGCTGAAACCACCCAAGGTTATGAGATGCCTGCAACTCAACGCTTCCCCACCACTGAGTGGTTCTGTCTGGAATGGTAGGCGGTTCTCAGCCTATACCAGGGGCCTGCCCTTCCACGTTCTGACAGTCAGTGGGGCGGGCACAGGGATTGGAGGCTCTCAGCCTGTTCTCCATGAGTCTTTGGTGAGCGCTACTACTAGGACTTAAGGGGTGGGTGGAGTTTGTTCCCAGACGGGAGTCCCGCTGAGTTTTCCTCTGCTTTGGGGACTAGAGGCAGGTGTCTGAGCTGAAGACTGGGATAGCCAGAAAAGCAAGCTGCCGCTTCATGAGTCATGGTTCTGTTTGCATTTCCGTTGTTAAGGCGACTCGTAGGTTCATTTTATGGCATGTCAATGAAAACTCTGGAAAGACTGGGTAGAGCTGGGTGTGTTTAAACCTCACCCATCTTGAACATCGGAAACGGAAGTAGATCTACTCTTTCCAGCGACGCAGGAGATATCACTACTTTTTGTGACAGAGGGTGGCCAGAGCCACAGTGTTGCTAACAGCTCAGCCCTGGGTGTCTGTGGGCTTTCCATTTCAACCTGTGCCATCACACTGCCCAGCTGGCTCCTGGCTGGGAAGGTGGTTCTGCCGTAGTGCCCAACCCCAGGCCACAGATCTCGGGGGATGTGGCCTCTGCTCTGGAGAGGAAAGTCTGGGGACTTCCCAAGGAGCCAAGAAGTCTCGGGGGGAACCCTGGTCTCCTTTGGGCAATGTGAGCCGACCGTGAGGATTCAGTGGGGCCCCACTGTCCCCCTCCTGCCCACACCACGCGTGACGGCGCCTGTGGCTAGAGAACCAGAGGGAGGAAGGAAGTCCCTCCTCCCCGAGACTTACCACCTGCAGCAGGGCCAGGTACCCGGCCCCGACGTTGTCGAAGTTGACTTTCACCTTGGTCCAGTACAACTCGCCGGTCATGTTGAACGACTCACAGTCACTCTTGTTGTTCACGAGGGTGTAGTTTAAAGGCATGTCCCCCTCCGTCTGGTTGATGCACCTCCCGAACTTCCCCGCGAAGAGGTTCACGCCCATGATGCTGAAGATGAGCCAGAAGATGAGGCAGACGAGGAGCACGTTCATGATGGACGGGATGGCGCCCACCAGGGCATTGACCACCACCTCAGGCGGACAGAGGAGACACTCAGGCCCTGACGCCAGGAGGCCCTCCCCTGTCCGGAGAGGCTTGGACATGTTCAAGACCCTTTCCCTCCACCCCCAGCCCACTGAACGCCCCGGCCATAGGTCCCTGGGGAGAGGGGCACAGAACATTCCCTGCCCCCAAGGAAGGGCAACCCATCGCTGGAAGCCCAGGTGGGGAGTGAGGGGAGCGAGAAAGAACACACACACTCATGCCTGCACCCTAACGTCTGATGCAACTCCACAACATCCGCCTTTCCCTTCCCGAATCCATGACCTTGAAACTGCATTTTCAACAGGGTCGTTGACTAGGCCAGAGACTGATGGGAGAGGGCCTCTGGAGATACACTGTCTGAGCTAAGTTTCCGGTTTATTTGGGGGTTGCTGCTACTGGGTTGGGGGTATTCTCCCCTAAAGTGTGTCCCGGGAAGGCAGCCACTCCTCTTACCCTCATGCCCTCGAACCGGGACAGGGCTCGCAGGGGCCGGAGCGCCCGCAATGTCCGCAGTGACTTGATGGGGCCCATCTCAGAGAAGCCCAGGGTGTTGGCCACCAGGCTGATCAGCGAGACCTGTGGAGGCAGGAGGGAGACGTGGAGACTGCCCCGGCGACTGACAGGGGGAGCGCTCTCGGCCGCCTAAAACAGGGCTGGGAGTGAGAGGCCCTGTCTTTATGAGTCCCGACTGGCTGCTCGGGCACAGGGTGAGCCTTCCTGGGGCCCAGAGGCTGGGGGTGAAGCCCAGGTGTGTCCTGGCTGAGACACACCTTTCCCGAGAGCCTTCTTGGTGTGGAGGAGCAGGGACAATGCCCGGGCTTTTGGTTCCTGTGTTTTCCTTGAGGTCAACTTCTTTTGGGGAAGGAAGGACTGCCCTGGGTTGAATATGAGCAGACCCTCTCCTGGGGCCTTTCCCTAGAGCCAGACTTTGGAGCATTCTGACATCTTCAGGTGATTCAGTGAATATATATTTTTTAAAATACTCATTGATTTGTTTTTAGAGAGAGGGGGGAAGGGAGAGGGGAGAAAGAGAAATGTTGATGTGAGAGCAGAACATCAATCGGTTGTCTACTGTGCAACTGGGGATGGAGCCAACAACCAAGGCATGTGCCTTGCCACCACGGCATATCCTTCCCCTGGACTTCATCCTTCTAAAGCTCCATGGGCATCCAGTTCCTCTTACTTCGCTGCTGGCCGGGAACACAGCTTAGAAATGGCCTCCTGCCTGACCTCGCACGCAATCACCAGTAATAGCACCTTGGCATTCAGGGCAGCCTGGGGGTGGTGAGCAGCCGCGGGCAAGGGCCTGACTGCCACAGCCTCCTCCCCGGCTTGGAAGCGCTGAGGATGCCCAGCT